CCAGCCAGGGCCCTGACTTAAACCCAATTGAGCATCTCTGGAGAGACCTAAAAATGGCTGTTCACCAACGTTTACCATCCAACCTGACCGAACTGGAGAGGATCTGCAAGGAGGGATGGCAGAGGATCCCCAAATCCAGGTGTGAACAACTTGTTGCATCTTTCCCAAAAAGACTCATGGCTGTATTAGATCAAAAGGGTGCTTCTACTAAATACTGAGCAAAGGGTCTGAATACTTAGGACCATGTGATATTTCAGTTTTTCTTTTTTAATAAATCTGCAAAAATGTCAACAATTCTGTGTTTTTCTGTCAATATGGGGTGCTGTGTGTACATTAATGAGGAAAAAAAAGTAACTTAAATGATTTTAACAAATGGCTGCAATATAACAGTGAAAAATTTAAGGGGGTCTGAATACTTTCCGTACCCACTGTGTGTGTGTATATGTGTATATATATATATATATATGAATGAGACTCGGGGATGAGGCAATTATTTAATTATTTCTGAACATATAGATCTTAAGTTGTGTTCTCTTCCAGTGTCAATACTTTACAAAGCCCATTAATTATGTAACATGACATGAGACTAGTCTGATAAATGCCTTACTAGTGTCATTTTTATCTATAAATTTATACTTACAACTTTCAGCTTTGTTGTCATGATTTTATTTCAAAGTAACAGTAAAATGCATACGGTTACAAAAGATTCCGTTTCAAATAAATGCTGTTCTTCTGAACTTTTGATTCTTCAAAGAATCATAAATATTAAGCAGCTAAAACCATTTTTAACATTGATAATATTAAGAACTCTTATTAAATAACTGAGCACCAATAACAATTGAGCAGCAAATCAGTATATTAAAATGAAGGACCATGTGACACTGGAGTAATGATGCTGAAAATTGCTGAAAATATATTCAAATAGCGAAGTTATTTCAAATTGTTCACAATATTACCGCTTTTACTGTTCTTTGATCAAATTCAGCCTCGGTGAGCATAATTTAATTAAAAGCATTTTAAAATCATAGACTCTGCAATTGACAATGCCACAAACTCTGTTGATTGAACCAAGAATTCCCTTAAGATGGAGTATTTGAAGTCTACAAACACTAGATGGCGCTACTGATCAAAGAAAATCATAGCAGCTTCACTTGAACAGTTATATTCATAGATTCGGAAGAAACCGTCATTTGATTCTGTGTCCGTCTTGTTTCAGGCGAAGGAGGCCGATCTGCAGGCCATAGAGCAGGTCTTGCGTGAACCGTCTCTGAGCGCTTGTAAATACAGACAGTGGCGAGATGCTAATGTGCTCCTGCTGCAGGAGATCGGAGAGAAACACGAGAGAGCCGTGGAGCCACAAGCCCAGGAAGCTCTGGTTCAGACTCAGCCTCGGCATCAGTCGCTCTTCAGCCCGGGCCCTGTGTACACCGAGACCAGCCTGTGAAGAGCAGAGGACAATAACCGACATCTACAAACTAAAACAGATGGGTGCTGTGTGAAGACGACCACAGGAACACAAACAGAGCGGGGTTTCCAGGACTCAAATGAAGCTTCGCTGAAACGCTTCAAACTCCTACTAGTCTGCAGAATGCAGTAACTGCATCATGGAGAAAAATTACCTCAATTTGGATTCATTTGATATCAGTTTTCTCTGAATCGGACACAGAAGAGCCTAGCTCAGTCATTTCTGAAACATGTAGTTACTGCATTTTGCCTTTTGTAGTTCAGAATAACTGTAACAAATTAATAAATAACAGATGTATTTCTTGTCATATTTGTTCATATCATTCAGTGTTTTGATAAAGAAAAGTGGGGGAGGAAAATGTCTGGAGATGTTCTGTGAACTTTACTCAAACTGCTGAATGAAATGGTGAGTTTAAAGGGACTATGAATCATGACACTGTATTGTCTAGTTTGATTTTTTTTTTTTTTTTAATGCAGTCTATACGCAGGACAAGCACACTCCTGCATGTACAGTACATGTCTTGTATTTGTTACAAATCACTCCATTTCACACTCACTATACAAACACATCTAAGCTCAGTTCTCTCCTCTGTTCTTAAACTTGTTTGTATTTGATGATTTTAGGAGTGGTGTCTTGTTTACCTTTTTTTTTTTTTTATACACGACGGCCCCTTTTAGATGTACATATTTAGCATTTTACAATTGAAAATGAATGTCTTGGGTGTTATACATTTTTGTATAAAAGTCTGATTTAATTGTATAAATGTTTACTTGATATTTTTGGAGTAATTCATGCTGAAGGTGTGCCAAAGGAAATAAAAATGGCGATTTAATATTTTCCGTCAAAAGTTTGTCTGTTAGGGTGTATTTGAGAATTTAATTTGTGAATTTTTAATTAAGCAGTTTCTGGTTGTCAAACTTGGTGGAATATTCTCATTGTGAATATGATTATACCGTGAATTTAACGGTAAAACACTGTAAAAATGCTACGGTAAAAACCTGTTAAATGGTTAACGGTAAATTCGCCTACTATATACGGTGAAAAACTGTATTGGACATTTCGTGTATTGGACATTAATTTTACGGTAGTATACCGTTTTTGTAAGTGAAAAAACCTGTATAATTTACAGTGAATAACCGTAAATTGACATTTCCAGAATTCCCTGCTTTACATTTCAAATTTGATGTTTTTTTTGTTGAAATAACTATGTTTCTTCTTAGGTTTTTCTTATCAGTTTTGTATATTAGGGTTGTGTGTTACACCTAATGTTGTTAAATTAATGTTTATTGCATGATTTCGGTTTCATGTGCGTTACCATGATGGTGTTTGTGTGAATAACACTGTGCACCTTCTATATATGTTATTATTTAAAAGCTGCTTGTGATGGGCTTTGGTTCATCGTGTGACTTTCTCATCACCTCCTGCATTTGGTGGTAATCAGTGTATTACAAAGCTACAAAACAGATTTCAGTATTTCAATAGGTTGGAATATTAACATTATATCAGTTCATGAAATTACGGTATTTTACTGTAAATTTAAGTTAAAACCGTAAAAGCTAAAATGTTGCTACTGTAGTTTTTACGGTAAAATTCCGGCAACCACAGCTGCCGTTTTATTACCGTAAAGTTTACGGATTTTTTTTTACAGTGTGGTTATTCAAGGACACTTTTGACTTCATACATCCACTAAAAATCACTTTGACACCAGTTGCGTAGAAGTCATTGTTCAGAAAAGTGAAGTAAATTCTGAGAAAGAGTCAGTTTCTAAACCCATTATAACATTTGAGAACTAATTTTGGTTTTAGAAGTTTCTGCTTTCTAAAAAACAAGAGAGACAACTTCAAATTATAGTTCTAAATAAAAAAATCTGTCATTTACTTCTCAAATATGGTAAACAGAAGCTTGATGCACGAAAACAAATCTCTT